AAGTGTCGCAAAGGTGGCGTGAAAGTGTTGAATGGAGTCATTTCCTTGCACGCGCTAAGTGAAAATCTGCATTAAGCGGCAAAGTGGGAAAATATATGTACATAGCGAAATTTATAGCAAAACATATTCAATACTTCGATTATTTATTTATTTTGTTTTTTATTTGTTATGTTTGTGTGGCAGCAACTATCGACGAAGCACCTTTTCCAAGTGGTGTTAAAGTGAGTTTTCCAATTTGCCGCAAATCATAAAAGCAAACAAACGGAAAGAACTGTGCCACCCACCCACATGCGGGCGCGCACACGGATATTTCTGAAGGATTAGCGTGCTGCGGCAGCGGCGTTTGCTGCGCTGCTTTTCTTAAAGTGCAAAGTGTGAAAAAGTGCGAAGAGCGTAGGACAATGGGAAACAGGAAACGCTGCAAGCGTACTTAAAAATTTACGTTGCAAAGTGGAAAAACTCACGCAGATCCGTTTCAATGTTGGTTAACTGCCTTGCCGGTGATTGTGTTTATTTATCCTCAGTGTCGGCAGTGGGTGGTGGCGCTTACCTGCCACAAATATTATTGATTGGTTAATTTTGATTGAAAGCGTATTAAAGGAAATGTGTGGACAAAAGAGATTTTTGTGGGGTTCGCTTGCAGAAACGATTAAAAGACAAATGCGTGAAAAGTGGTCTGGGGATTAAGTGAATTTGATTGCAAATGAGATTATCATTTTAGAGAAAAATAATGATTACTTGTCGCTAAACACATACAGTGGTCGAAGAAATTATAGCCGCAGCACATTTTGACAATTTGGTTATTTTTTTTAACTGTTTTTAATTCATTGCCAAACCTCGTGTAAATCCAAGTTGAATTTTAGTAGAATTAAGTACCTATCTACAAGTTTGAAATGGCTTAAAAATTACCCTTGATTTTCTTAGAAGTTTTTTTTTCTGGAAGAGGTTACGGTTTTCTTCAATTTAAAAATAAATTGTGTGTATGTATTTGTCATGTAAAAGCAAATGAGACAAACAAATCTAAAAAGATCGACCGTAATTTTTTACCATTTTAACCTTCTACTTTATTCTACTAAAATTCAAAACTCCATACCTATGTAGGTACTTAAAATCTTTTTAAGCAATCTAATTAAAAAGCTCGAAATTCTTACGAAAGTTTATTATTTTATTTTCAATATATGTATATGTATATGCACAAATTTTGAACCTGGATTTACACGGGTTTTGTTAAGGAATGGCCAAAATTAAATAGCTGTCTAAATGTGGTGCGGCTATAATTTTTTCGACGACTGTATGTAGGTACATACATACGAATCCAAGCAAAAAACAAATAAGTTGTAGGCATATACGTATGATGTGGCAGTGACCGTAAGCTTACGAAAATTAGTTACCTACATACATACATTTAATTAACAAACGGGTGAAAAAAGTAACATTAAAAAAATAGGCTACATTTTATAAATGGGTTGATGATGAACATTTTTTGAGGGAATTCATACTAAGTAGGTAAATATGAATAAAACATACATGCAAAAAATTTCCTTTTTTTGAAATTCTATTACAATTTATAATTTAATATTTGGCTTTAAAAAAATTCAAAGTTGAATTGAGCAGATACGAGTATTAAGTTTTATAAAAAATTCAACTTCAAATTCGGTTTTTTTTTTGTTTTCTTGCATTTTATGTACCTAAGACCGAACTAAATTTATTTGGATACTTTCGATTTTTTTAATATTTTAACACGCGCCACGGTAATTTTTACCGCAGATCCATGGTAAAAAAATATCGTAGATGCACGGTTAAATATTACCGTATATTAACGGTAAACATATTACCGTAGATCAAAAAATTACCGTGGATCCACGGTAAAAATTTCTCCAAATCTACGGCAAAAAATTAACGTTGATCCACGCTAATTTCCGAGAAAGAGCATATTTACCGTGAATCCACGGTAATTTTTTGATTTTCGAAGTGCGCGAATAACTTTCCTTTTTGAGCAAACTTTAATTTAATGACTCCGATTTTAGGGGTAAAATTGGTACCGTTGGAAAGCTGGATACCCCCTTTTCAAAACTACCCACTTAAAGGTGCAGGAACGTTCTGGTTTGTAAGGTATTTAGGGCCAAATTCAAAGTGCATAAAAAACGAGGAAATATAGTACGCTATCTAACAAAAACCACGTAAATCAGAACTTAGATTTTTTATAAAAACTAGAAGAATTCGACAAAGTTTCATCAAAATTTCAAACTTTTTAATCAGAACTTTTTTTTGGTATGCAATTTTGTAACCCATCTAATTTTAGTGTAAGTTAGAAGTAGCTTTGACTTACCGTTGTTTTTTTTTTATTTTTTTGCTGCCCTTTTCTTTTATAAAAAGTACAGTGGCGAAAATATAAATAGGGATGAGGCATTTTGGCATTCTTTGGCTATATCCCTTTCGTTTATTTAATATTTATCAGGGAAATACCGAATAGTTATAAGTTTTATCGAAAAAACGTGGTTCCATAACAGTTGTTAGATGAGAAATTTTTTATTTTTTATTTCGCCAATAAGAGTTATAATCCAACGTTTACCTTTTACGTTGCCTGATAATTTTTATGCAGGAGAAATATGTTTTCTGTCGACAATAAGAGTTATTTTCCAACGTTTATTTTTCACGTTGCTTGATAACAGTTATAACCCAACGTTTATTTTTACGTTGTCTGATAACAGTTATTTCACTCCTCCTCTTTTATTTTCATCATCTTTATCTTACTCCCCGTCTCCGTTTTCGTCAATATTCTTATCTTACAACGTTTACCAGACAACGTAAAAAATAAACCTTGGATAATAACTGTTATAGGCGAAATAAAAAATATTTTTCATTTAATAACTGTTTGAAAAAGCGTTTTCGTTAAATTTCAGAATTCGGAGAACGTTTTTAATTTTTAAATTCGAGATAATAGTTATTTTTGTTTTCTGAAATTTATTATTTTTTATGAAAACGTAGCTCGTTATCTAAGAAAAAAATCATTCTTAGACAACAAATCAGGAAATGTTGAAACATGTTAACGTAGAAGGGAAGCTCAATCAGAAGAATCCAAAAATCTGGCGATAAGTACTACAAAAAAAAGTATTCTATAATTTAGGCGACTGGAATATTTGGAAAAATTTTGGAATAACGGTGAAATAAAAAATTAAGATTTTTATGGATTACCCTAAAAGTAGGTAACAAATAGCTAGTCAATTTAAGCTATAAAATTTATGGAAAAGATTTCCGATATTTATCTATTCCTGGGTCTAGTAATACAATTCTATATACCCTATAACACCTTATCTAACCAATGGACAAAGAAGATCTCCCGCTGACAAAGAATGACCCATATATTTTTATCATAATCGAATATTTAAAATTTTGCCTTTTATATCTTTATTGTGTTTAAATTTTTTCACGCCCAATACTCATTAATTAATTAAGATCACTGTATGTTAACCATCGAAAATATTTACATCTAAAGTTTAGATTCTAAACTAATCGAACAAAACATTTATATGGCTTACTACAAATTTATTGATATAAAAAGGTTCGCGAAAATAACTGTCAGTACAGAAGATCACCAAAATATCAGTGAAAATACTTTTTAAATAAAAAAATTACCCAGTTTATAGAAACAAAACGTTAATTAATGGTATTTTGCAAATACAAAAAGATAAATCACAACCGAAATATATAAACGTTTTGACATCAAAAATCAACTAATGTGCAAATAGTTAAATATTTTTTTTTGCAAATAAAATATTTATTACGAAAAACCGTCCCGGTGCAGTAAAAAATTTAAAAATATCAAATCACACAAAAAAAGTTATTCGCCAGAACAAAAGTGTAACGCAGAGTTCAACGAATGTGAGCGCGTAAATCATGAATTTAAAAGTGAATTGGATTAACACCTAAAATCCAAAGTCAAAACTTTCAACTGTGCAAAAAAAGTACGCAGGTACAAAAAACTAAATTTTCCTCTCGTAACCAACTCCAAAGCTTATAGAAACACATCGCTAGCATGGAGGACGAACTACGCTGCCCGACATGCAAACAACTCTTCGCCAATCCGGTACTGCTGCCCTGCTTCCACGCCCTCTGCTTGGGTTGTGCGCTTGACATACAGACCGCCTACACGCCCGCCTCGGCCTTGGCCGCCATCAATGCCGGTGCTGGCCTCGTCGCGAATGGCAACATAAACGGCGGCTGTCTGGTACATTCGCATCCAGTGCATGGCGCAGCAGCCCATGGTAACAGCGTCACTACCACCGCTACAGTACATTCACACGCTGGCGTTGGTGCGCCCGCAGCACCATCCTCACATCCTTCGTCGACACGTCACTCATCGAACAGCTCAGCCGCCAGCACTGCCAGCTCGGCCACAGGCAGCGAAAGTGTTACATCCGATCAGGACCAGGCAGACAAGGTGAGCATCTTGAGTGAAGCCGACTCCGGTGTAGTCTGCTGCTCGAATACATCACGTCCGGTTTCGTACGCCGGCACCGCACAGTTACAGGGCCTGTTGCAGGGCGCTGCTGCTGCGCCACCTGGCGCTGCTTTTTATCTCACCTGTCCGCTCTGCCGGAAGCTGGTGTTCTTCGACGAGGGTGGCGTGCGTAATTTGCCCGCCTATCGCACCATGGAATCGATTGTTGATCGCTTTTGTGCACGCGAAGCTCTGCGCTGCCAAATGTGCGAGACAGATCCGAAGGTGGCGTCCACTGTGTGCGAACAATGCGAGATACGTTACTGCGATGCATGTCGGGAGCTCTGCCATCCGGCACGTGGCCCGCTGGCCAAACATAATTTAATGAAGCCGCGTAATTGCGCACCACAAAGGGAGTCGGTCTGCGGCGACCATGGAGATACGCTGGCAATGTACTGCTTGGTGTGCAAGATGCCCGCCTGTCCACAGTGCATCGCTGAGAAACACCATCCCGGACACGAGGTGCAGTCCATCAGTGTCACTTGCAAGGCACAAAAGGTGAGTGAATAAATAGTTGTTTGACTTAGGTTTTAGTAATTATTTTCCTTGCCCAGTTAAGGGAATCCATATTATCTTGTACATATTTCTTTTTTATCACCCTGTACGCTTTGATTTACAGAAATCGAATTGTTTCCAAGCAGAACTAAGTAGAATGCATGTAGCATGGGATAAAGATTTCGATTTTTATGCTTACAAAGGGCGTCTTTGCATGGAAAAATTAAAAACAGCTGCTTATTTATACTACCTCTGCGTTTGATGCCTTACATATCTTAATAATTTAGAATTTTATGCTGTGTTTATACGGCTATCTATCGATTTTTTTTAAATATCTGCATAAGAGAGTTGCTCTTAAAGTATTTATTAAAAAGCTAGGGAATCCATTTATGATATCCAAGAAAGGACGTCGCATATCCTTGAACCATACCGATCTTATGACAAACCCGCTCAGTACGTTCAACGAGCCCGTTTCCAGGTTAATAGCCCATTTCTACCAACAGCTTAGTCCCACGAATTTTAATACGGGGTGAACGGCACGGCTATATCTTACTTCTTGCTCTTTAACCTTCATTTGGTTGTACTTATTATGACCAATTACCTCTTCTAGTTGTAATCTCATTTTGCAAATAGGCATAAACTGCAGTTAAGGCTTGGTGGAAATTTACTATTCCACACAGCAATCTTTAGTGAACTTATAAAAGTCATAGTGGGCTGAATGCTGATTTAGACAACAGCGCTGATAAAATTACATAATTTTGGTACTTCCCTTTCAGAGTTTCTAATTCCGCAAGAACGTCAAGCTGGGCTACCGACGGAAATGTTGGTATACTCACTTGTCACTAAGTCACGTCAACGCTGGGTTCTTAGGCATAGTAAGATCGAATGGAACAAAATAGCCTTTGAGATGGCTAGATTTATGATATACTGGAGAAAAACATTAACACTTTAGCTCTTTTTCCATTTTTCTTAATATTGGACTGCGGAGTGAGTTCGTATAAAATATATAAAAAAGCTTAAACTACAAGTAGCCTCTGAGCTTACTTTCCTGATAAGGTTCATAATTATTAAAAGTAGTTTGGCTATCTTGTACAGACTCCCATATAACTCTGTACTCTCGAGGGGTTTCTAAACGCATTTTGAATAATCCGTAACTGAATTAAGGTCCTTAGTTCCGCGAATCTGCAAAATAAGCCAGTATGTACTTAGAGTTATTTTTTTAGAATTCCAAAAGAAAATAGTCGTTGACGGCGTATTCAAGGTTTCCACATGCTAGGTCTTCGAAAACTTTCCATACTTACTCTGCATAGAAGCGTTCTTAAAAAAATAAAAATAAACATACAATACAATTTCAATGAGAAGGATGAATAAACAAATTACCATACTGCTCATAACCGATAAGAATTTGCGGTATCGTTAACGAAACTCCACGCCAAGAAAGGACGAAATAAAAGAAAACAAATATAATATGGCACAAAGAAAAGTCGCAAGTTTTCCCAACAAAACCCACATGGACGACAAGGAAGCAAACTGTAAAACAAACAAACATACACACATTGCAAAAGTACATAAATAAAATCAAAATACAAAGCAATAGACAGGCCACTGCAGGATAACAAACAACAATAAGAAATCCAACAAGGCAACTAAATCACACCAAAGCGAACTAAACGAAACAACAGCAGCAACATCGTGTTATCTAGCACCTTGCCCAAAATTAACACTCAATTCCCGAACAGAGCAGTGGTGTGCAGAACAGAGCAAAAGGCAAAGCCACAATCTGCACTTCCTGAACTTCCTTCTTCCTGCCGCAGCCTGCTTGGCTTACCTCTCTCTCGTTGCCTATATCAGCAGAAAACCTTCGTCATCCCAGTGCCCACGCGCTGAAATCCAACCGTTCGGTGGTACAATTTATACTTTATTTACTTGCATGTCTTGGCGCTGCAACTCTTATTCTCCGCTGGTTCAGTATTCTATGTTTTGTCCCGGCAGCCTTGACAGCCATTTCCGCCTGCTCAGCAGAAGAAAATTTTAATCGAGCCTCCAGCAAAAGTATTGGTGAGAAGTAAGTAGTGCTGGCATTGGCGTCTTCCAGCTGAATGGGAATCGCAGTGGCATTGGGTTGTTTGGCAGGCAGTGGGAGGCATGAAGATGTGGAATAAGAAGCCTGCAGCACAATTTATTGCTTTGGAGCTGTCATTCTTGACTCGAGGCGCATTTGTCATGCTGGGGGTGGAGCTGGAAGCGATTGCAGAAGAATGCTTTCGAAGGACATTACAAGCATATACTTAACCAAGTATAACTAACGGACACCGACTATAGTGGACAGTCTCATACTACAAGCGCACAATTTACTTGGCAACGAGTGCTGCTCGTGGCGTGTGGCGCGTACCTTTCGGTGTGTAGGTGTCAGTTGTTTGGTAGGCGTTGTTGCTGTGTGTGAAAGGAGTGAGCTTTGGGAGTGAATCTGCGAGGCGATAAATTCATCTAAGCCGTAACTGCCACCTTTTGTTGTAACTATGTTTGTAGTGGCTGCTCTTTTTTCTGTTATTTGTTCTCTGTGTTCTGCTTTTGATTTACTCATTCTTATCGATTCACTGTCCTACGGCTGGTTTCTTTCGCAATTATACGTTTTGATTTCGTTTTGTTTGGGTTTGCCATTTTGTTGTCGGCACTGTTATTGAGTTGTTGTTCATGCAGTTGCGAAGCTCGAATTCCTGCAGCTTGTTGGCTGGCCAAGTGAACAAAACGACGTTTGTTGTTTATCAAACGGGCCTTGCTTTTCGTAACTCAAGAAAATTGTATTTGCAAAAAATACACATTAGACTAAGTGTTCTTGTTTCAATTGAAGAGTGTCTTTCTTGCTTTCTGTTTGTTTTATTTCTACCCCCACTCTTGCTAACTTGGTCTTAACTTAAAGACACTTTGTCTTCTAAGTGGTAATTTATGTTCATTCACGCCGCATATTTGAGTTTATTTTATTTGATGGGGTTGCTTGTGCGAATTCTTATTTACAGAATACTGACAAATATTTATTTTTACTAAATACGAACATATTTGGTTATATGTATGTGTGTATATGTGTCTGTATATATATATATATATATATATGAATGGATGGACTTAACTTTCTTTGGGATTTATGATTTTAGCAATTCAGTTGTTTCTTGAGAGCTTAAATATTGTACTTATAAAGATCGAAATGGTACCCACATACAAACATACTTGTGGTATTTGTCATTTCAGATTACATACATATGTAGTAGTAGCTTTAAAATATGCAAAAGATAACTAAATTAGAGATTTTAGTCTTATAGTTTAGTATGATATTCCTTTAAATTCTAAATACCCATAAAAAACCTATCCTACGCGTTGATGCCCAAAAAATGCCTATAAAGCTGGCATAGCTTTGCTAACATCTCAAACATGTGTCCCTTAAGTTTAGCTAGATCATGGAGGCTAGTATCGAAAAAACTAGGAAAACTGACTGGATGCATGCTAATGCTTTTTGGTCATATAAATAAGTATGAAATCGTTGTTACTCTACATGAGCCTTTCGCCAGGGGCGCTACCCTGTTGGAATATAGAACAAACCTCTGACAGTTTTGGCTTTGAAAGAATCTGTCAAACAATATCTACTTCGGTCAATGCTAAGGTGCAGAACCAGATCGATCTACCCTACTCTCACAGATGCATTCCTTACCTCCGGTTATACAGTCAATGAATTATCAGTTGTCTGCACCTCTCTGAAGTTGACAAGACAACTTTTCCCCAAAGAAAAAATTCATATCGGATATTTTACGGATAATTAACGGCAACAACCAAGCTGCCTTAAGGCTCCTTTCTGCCGAATTGCCGAGGACTGGACAATATCATAGGATTTAATTTTTTCGTTTCTCCACTTGGATTAAGCTAGAATAGGGCGAACAATAAAATATACATACATATACCTCTCCTGTACTCACGTTGATCTTGCATTAAGCTAACTAGGATCAGCACACCTACCATCAGGTATTCAATGCGGCTACAAACGAATGTCGTGACTTGATCGAACTAATCTGCAGCTTATCCTATATTACTTAAAAATTTCAAACAATGTTTTTTTTTGCAAGGAGCCCATTTTCCTTGGGACTTTATGTTTGCAAACATTCACCTTCTTTCTTTTGTTAACCATTTAACATCTCATTCTTAATGCCACATTTTCTGACTAATTTAAAAACCTCAGCAAACCAACAGCCGCACGCACGCAAACTCTGCAAATCAATAGGGGTATTCTCTGAGTCTTGCAAAGCCCTTGCATGGTGCACAGATTGCACGGATTGCACGGTAAAAACCGGTTTTCGTATGGGACAGCTTTGCAAACCGTGCAATCCGTGCACCGTGCAAGGGCTTTGCAAGACTCAGAGAATACCCCTAATGAGTTACTGGGAAAATGCGAACAAGTGCAAAAATATGCATAAATAGAATTTACATAAGTACATACATACATACCTGTTGCAGCTGCATACACAAACGCGAATACAGTCGAGCATTGAAGTGTAAATAAAACTGACGAGATTGCAACTACCTGTCGCTATTACCTGTAGGGAGCTGTTTAGCAGCGAGCAAGTGCAGTTCGTTGCAAGACGCTGAACAATTCTGCATATACTATATACATATATGTACGTAGTACATTAAGGTGGTCTAAATAAGGTAAAGTCGGAATTTTAATTCTCTTACCCGTTGGGATTGTTCTATAACCAAAAAATAAAAACCTTGTTTTTTTTTAATTTGGAGGGCGCTCAAAGTTTTCCATATAGTTCATATGGAAAAATTTTTTTCGTAGGAATGGTGTAGAATTCGTGAAAGACAATATGTTTTCTTCAATCGGGAAATTCTGCTACTCTTCAGGAGACTTCCAGAAATAATGGCCAGTTGTTTATTTAACCATTTTTTAATATTAACTATTTTTTAACGTTCCCCCAAAACTGCAATGATGGGACCCATAAAAAACGTTAGTATTAAAAAATGGTAAA